TAAACATGCATTACTGCCACTTGGTGGAATGATACAATAAACTCGTGTCTCTCACAGCGCCTGAAGTTGTTCATTAGGCCAAACCGAAAATACTTCTTCCAGCGGTATGCTTGCCTCAGAGTCGGGAGTAAGTGGGTCAGGTATTATTCCCATAATCATTTTGGTAGTTTAACACTTGTTCTGGTACAGAAAGGTGACTGCTTTTTCTTTCGTACTTCCAGAAGCACAGTTGATTATATACGCGTTTTCTACCAAAGATATCACCTATGCACCATAGTGTACCAGTCAATGAACATTAAGCTATCTGAAAATGTAAGATTGTTTTGTTTTACTTCATCAGCGGCCCAATTATATTGACAATAATATAGATTACGTAGATGTTAACCAGAAATAACGCTCAACCAACACCCCTATTTTCTCAGTCGGTACATTCTGAAGAGTGTACGATAGCTACCTCTCTGCCAGTTGCAAACTTGTACGTTTTATGAATGGCTCAATTTATGCGAGGATTCGTTTAGATGAAGTAGAAAGCCCGCCAGTTACCTACCATGGAAACCTACTCCGCTTCAGACCGGAAAAATTCCTGGACGGTAAGGTGTTCAGAACTTGTGGAATCATGCTCATAATGCCTGCAACATAACCGACTGTACACTGTAGCTGTAACTAAATGTGCGACGATATAAATAAACCCATATCCAGACTCGTGACTTTTGTCTCTAGCTTCGTGTTCTAAGACGCTTATACTTTTACTCGATTTTGGATCAAATGTTATAAGATCTTACGTCACATTGGGTGAATACTAAGTACTAGCTCCTAAAAAACGCGGGTGGCAAATTGGCTACGGCACTATGGTTATAACAGTCCAAGATTCATGTGCTTCTGAGGGAGTTGTAAAGGCTGCTTACCAACGCTTTCCTTTGAACCAGCGTTTGGCAATTTAAATTATGATTCCCGAAAACGGTTTCAAACACAGCCCGTTTAGAAGTCTTCTATGAAATTTTGTGGCAGAAGGGAACACGAAACGGGTCACTGATAACCGTTTCGGCCACCTAATTGCAAGTTTTTTCAGATATATGAATGAAATCCATGGGAAGATATTTCATCACACCAAGCAAATAATGGTGTACTACGTCCAGTGCACACTTACTTCACCTTAAAACGCCTGCAATCCCATGTATTAATGTTAGTGTGGCTGAAGATGAACACAAATTCCAATGTGACTGTTAATTTGGCAGCTACTTTTTACCGCATAAGGGACCATTCATAAAGTTTTACACTACACTTTGCAAAGCAGTTCACTCGTAGATGTCAGTAGACTGGGTTGAGTGTTTGGTGGCCATGTTGAATGTGATAACCTCCAGCAATGTGCTGTGTTCCAGGGTTGTGTGTACGAAATGAGTTTCAGTAAGTTAAAACTATTATGAGCTAAAGAAGCAGAATTTAGACAAAATTACATAAAAGCTTTTCCGCTTTCACAAAACGGTATGAAACGTCATAAAGAAGGTGGATCAGTCTCAGTAAAACACCTGATTCTGGGGTAAATTATTGTCATTATGGCACCAGGAAGTCTTAAAACGATACTGAAATTTAAAAGTTGAACGACTGTATGTCTAGCATAATGCGCTACCGGTTCAAACTGCGTAGATGTGCCAGTCAAAAGCAGAAGCAGAACAATCCTATATAGGTGTTTACTTTGGTTTCCAAAATTCAGTAGCTTGGTTGTGCCTTGTGTGCTAGTTACCTTTTGAAATTAATTCACTGGATAACTGTAAAGACGGAAAGTGTACCATGCACTTCTAGGAATCGGCTGCTGAGAATAGCAGACATGCTGCAGCGGAAGTTGCAAAAACCCATTTACCTTAAGCTTTTTAAAGCTTTTGAAAGTTAATTTGTGTGAAATACATTGATCAGTTAGGCAAAAACGAGAAGTTCATACAGAATCCTATCATCAGTCCACTGAGGTCCTTAAGTGAGCAGTGAAATCTGCTTACCCTTGGAAATATTTTGAAACAGGAAAATAAGATAGTTGAGAGTTGATGAGCGTGATTAATACTGTCCCATATGAAGTTCTCGGAAAGAGTAGTTTGGCGTGGTGACAGTGAATTCCACACTTATAGAAAAATGTCGACATCTGGCTTTGAATTTGCGGTAGCGTTGGACAAGCTATCAAACAAATCATACATCAAAGATCATGCAGCCCATTTGTTGTGCTTTGTTTTTGATTTCCCAGTCAATATCTTTAATAAAGAGACGAAATCATGTGATAGGACAAATTAGTTAGGGGTTTTACGTTATGATAAATGTTACAGGAACCCGGTGCGAAATATATGTTGTGGAATCTATTGGAGAATGGTTTCACCCCAGAAAGACTATATTTGAGAGTGTTAATCTATGGATAAAACGCTAAATTTTAGCAGTCCTGTGGATGTAGGTCAAAAAGTTAGGAAGGCGGCACATTTTCAATTCCCTTACTGTTGGTTTGAATTTAAACAACAAGCATGATTTGATTTGGTTCGGGAGTACTCGACCATCAGGCATTCTACCACTGCTGGCACTGGTGATACAAATGTATTTCTGTGCGTAACCAGCGGTTAATTTCGAATGTTTTCGGTTTGGTAGATGTTTATGGATTGCATCTCTTGGCGGTACCTCTGACATGAGGTAATCTTCCAGAAAAATTGAACAACAGAATATCGTGCCCACTTGAGCAGATAGAAGGCATTATGAGCTTTACCGAAAATTGAATTTTGAGGAAGAATTGAAAGCTCTTGCCCCGTAGCAGGGGATTTGATTCTGTCAACGCACCAGTCAGATAAGTTCGAGTCGCTTGCATGAAGTAACCCACTGTTGCATTGAAACTCAAACTTGGCTTAAATCTGGCTAAAAGTTGATAGTTGCTAATTCTTCAGAACGAGTAATTTTGTTCTTATGTCGCTTTGACACCCACCACAACTACTGCAGATAACAGGATATCAGTGGTAGTTGTTAGGTAGAAGCACCAAGCATTCCTCACGTCCTGACGTTACCCATGTGCATATTCGTTTACTCTTCCAATAAATTCCGAACTGCAAAACACTTCAAGGGCCTAAGACGATTCTGAGGTAATTAATTTGCCAACTAGGCCGCTTGCATGGAAATCATTTAATCATATACTGAAAACGAACAATGCGTGGATGAAGCGTAAAACATGAAAAGCGCTTGTTCCTCAGTGGATTAATTAACTAGAGTGCCGACTGAATTTAGCACATAGTGGACATAAATGTTTATCGTATTGAGAACTACTACAGAGTGAAATCGGTGCAGAAATATTGGGTTAATTTGGTAGTCGCACAGGATTGTACGAAGCTCTATTCAAAAAAAGAAACTGCCGGTGAAATTAGCGCAAAGTCTCTCAGTCGTCCGTGAAATCTCATTAAATAAAAAGGGTGTACTTGTGTGATTGAAGAACGTAGCTTTTAATCTTAGAAATAGCTAGCTCACCAAATGGAAGCACAGTTTCTGTCCAGCGAAATAGTACTTAAAACTGATTACCTACGACGCACTGAGTAAAGTACCTGAAAGGTCTGAATGTAATAAATGTCATAAATGTGGTTTATTGCTCAGCCGAATGTCGTAAATGGGGCTTCCAATCCAGATTTCTTTTGAGTTACCCACTCACCGGTCATCTTGTTTTCACAAAAGATAAAGTTAAATATGAAAACCCACTCTTTTGAAAAGTAAGTAGGTGCTAGGAAGAAGTTTGACTGCGTAATTTGCGTTAATTTGAGAAAATGTGTAATCAAAAACATAAGGCGGCCTTTGCGCAGCACATTCAGTTGAAGATGACAGGAAACGAGAGGTTCTGCTGGTATTCAGGTGGGTCTCTTATAACAGCCAACTTACTGTGCAAAAGAGTGTACTTTGCAACTTGCGTGCAAGTTGGGTTAAACTAAAACATAAAGTTGACGAAAACCTGAGAGTCGCACGAAACTGATGAGCTTTCAGAAGGGTGAAACTATTGGTGGGCTGTTGAGAATTTTTCAACAGGCTTCTAACCAGTGTTATTTAATGGGGATAAAGTTTAAAATTAATTACCAGTCGCACTTATAATTGTTATTTTTAAATTTTACGCCTATTGCCGGCAAATTTATACACTAATAAAGCTAGTGTCTCATTAAAACACATTGTTGACGTTTGAGATCATCCTTATCATACTTAATGTTGTATGCCTAAAGATTGAAAAGGGTTCAATACGGCTCTGCTTGAACACAACCTTCTGGCATCTTGCTCGCGTTTGAAGATCTGACACTAATATAACCGATGTTGCGTGGAAGTCTATTTCGCGGCCTGATGCGACTACAAATCGCGGTGGACAAATAAAGACCGATCACGACTGTTTGGCCACTTCCCAGCCAAACACTAAATTTTATCCGGAAAGAGGATTGTCTCAAATCTCCATCACATTATCATCAAATTCGCAGATGAGAGGTCTAAACTACTTGCTCTCGCAGCCGGTGTCTTTAGTCTATCGACGAACCTTTCAGTGAGCTTATTTACCTATTTTGTTCCTCAGTGATTCATTTTCGTCCTGAAGGTAGAGTCCAATTAAAACACGTTATTGAATGACTAAGTGTTGCACTATAGCCCTGCCTGGTGCAACTCAAGTCAAAGTAGCTTAGTTGTTTTAAAGAGACCGGTTTTTGCGATGGGGAAATAATTCTACAAAACTCAGAGTATATCTATCAGGAACTAAAAGCAACTGGTGATGATAGTAAAATCCACCCCATCAGACAACTTTGAGTATCCAGTGTTTTGGGTTTGACGCTCGACCAAAAGATCTAAATTAGGTTCAAGATGTACTATCCATGTCCTCAACATGCTATCATATTGACCATATGTTTCCAGTCAGCCTACTTTAATAATGATACTACTGCTGAGTTGGAATTACGGCGATGAGTCACTGCAGAGTGTACCTACTTTTCCAGGTTTTCTGCATTCATATAACTGATTCTTCCTCTTAGGAGAGGGCTATGACGGATTAGGAGGAATCAAATCTAGGCTGCTGCCACTGTTAGGCTCAGGTCTCCTTGCAACTGGAATCACTGCACCAATGAGCATCTTCTCCGCAGAAGAAAAACCTTCAGACAACAAGGCCTGCAAGCCACCATGCGAAAAATCCCCGGGCGGAAGTGATCCTGTTGTCACACAGCTGGAACCTTCCTTTGTTGGCTCTGAGTAAGTCGCTTCGTTCTTTGAACACTTCTCTTGTTCCGATTATCAAACCTAATCGATTACCTCGCCATTTGACTTGAGCGAAATTCAGCGGCTAGAGACTATCACCTTTTAGCAAGTTATTGCAGATGAATCCGAAACAATCCATTACTGGATTTCATCAGAATGAGTAGAGTGATACCAGGTGGGTGTTACTTGCAAACGGTTACAAGAAGCTGGATTCGGCAGCACACGCCCGTTGGGCCAAATTGTACAGCTGGAGGGATCGGATCTGACCGACATAACTAGTTCCAGTCAGTTGATCACCGAATTAGCATAATCGGGTTACCAACGGACATTCTGAGTGTTATTCTAACTTGAAATTTACCAATACACTAGCACACATCTCAAGAACATTACAAAGTATTGAAGGCTTCATAATGCTCTTTTCTACGGATTCTGACGATTTCTATCATCAAAACACGCAGCTGAATTTCAGCCTCGTGATCCAATCTTTTTAAGGCTTTTGATCGAATAGATGACTGGGTGGATTGAAAAGAGAGCCGAACATTCATCAATAGTCATCAATAGCCTAGAGGTGACCTAACCACTACTCACATCCGACTTCAGATGCTCAATCTGGTGACGGATTGTAGTTCTGAGGTCTGCTGACCGAAATATCACTGTAAAATAGTAATGAGTGAAGAGTTCATCTGAGAAGTCTTCACTCAAGCAGTCACTCAGCACGCGTGACCACATGATGTGAATTCCATGGTTAGATGATGAGTGACCCTTCACCTTCTTGCGAGTTAATCACACTGCTGATCCGTCGCCTATGCCCAAACGGTTTAGTCTTCAACTACTAGCCGGTGAGTCCAAATTAAGGCCCTGTATGGCTGAGGTTTTCTGGAACCAATGTACTTGCAAAACCCGTGGCTCTTTTATGCTCATGCTCCTCCTGAGGATCAATGACTGGTCGAGAGGAATATCTTGTTACTCAGAAGTAGTTAGAACAAGCACACCAATAAAAAAATAGTATCCTTCAATAATCCCCAAATTTCTATAGAAGACTCCTTCACAAGATATTTAGCAAATCGTTACCCGTAATTTTCAAAGGGAGCTGCAAACCCTTTCCATTAGAATGATGCGTGATTGATGTATGCTTAGCCGGCACATTTACTCGCTCTATTTATTTTAGGACGGAATGCACCAAAGCCGAGAAAAGCCGTAGAAAGCACCCGACGAAAGGCGTGACACAAGATAAACATTTTCAAGACCTTCAGTCAAGGTGAGTCTTCCATTCTGTATCTTCATGTAGTTCCATCACTCTTCCTGGGGTCCTCAGGTTCTGGTACATGTCTTGCACTCGTGACTTCTGTAACTGGCTGACAAGACGAAAAATTTATTCCTCTTCATCCAACGAATCATGCTATGTGGATAGAGATATCATGAACGGCAATATTGATCGTTGGCTGGTAAATTACTATGCGTCAGTTGACTTTTTCAAGTTCGATTTGTTAATCTATTTTAAACCATTAGCTCGCACGATGAAGATGTGGCGGTTGATATATTAATAACTTCAAACTGGTTTCAGCTCTCGAGTCTGACATTTTGGGCAAAGTAAGGGTTATCTGGGACTCCTGAAATTCCGTTAAACGATGAAATAGTGTATGGACCTTCAACAGAACAGTCATAGATGTGGAAAACTGTCGCTTTGCATAAACCAGATGGACCTGCGAAGGCAGAGTATCACACTGGAGCGATGCTGGTGCTATCACACTCAACAGAATGCTGCAATGTTTCATGGGGCATTGGTGTATCCTCCCATATAACTAGGCCACGTATTGATTGCGCTTTTTGAGGACGCTTTATTACGGAATATCCCCACATCAAAAAATCGCTTTACTTGGCTTACCCAAACTAACATATGCCTCAGAGCGAAGGGGTTAGAACTTTTCATTTTTTTTACCATGCTAACTAAGTAAACAAGCCGATTGCGAATACGTGCATGACAGAATGGAGTAGTTGTCGTTTGACAAAGTAAGCTCTTGAGTAAACGCAAGCATAGTGCTCGCAGCCGACGGTAAGTGCCGGGTCATTATGCGATTTAGCGGAGTCGTAAGGGATCTTAGAAGCTTTTTATTAATTGACTTACGAGTTGGCATCTGAAAAACTGACAACGCTGTTGTCCGGAGGATGAAATCAGATTGCTGTTTATAGAAGAAAGTACACAATAGCAACGCTAGAAATCGAGTTCATTTATTACTTGTCCTTTGCGAAATTGTCCGTCTGTTCGCGTAAATCTACGTGCGCAGTTTCGCCGCCATAGTTTCTCTTTGTAACCTTGAGAAAAATCGCCTGAACACCCATACATCCTCTAGATTTGAGTAGATTGTATCCAAGGTCCTGGAGTTTGACGAGTTATTCTGGTAGACAGTGCTGCATTCCTATTACCTTTAACGGAAACCCATCGTACAATTGATGGGTGTTGGTTTTGTGCCAGATTCAGGATATCAAAATGTACACGGGGTGATTGTACACGAGGACTTAGGATTGACGATTATTCCGTGGAAACCCGCAGGTTCTAATGTGTGAGGTTGTTGTTACAACGAATACTGGTATTAAGGGCATGTACTATAGCAAAGGAAAAACCAAATTAAGTACAGCCTGCAACGACCTTTAGTTCGTTTGTGTGTTTCCCTGTTGAGAGAGTAATCCATAATAGGGAGGCTTCGTGAAATCCAGCCGGATTTTTCCTTCCTAAAAGAGTTTTCACTCACCACTCAGGCGTTCAAATATAGTCCCTAATGATGCATGATAATTTCTCACAATTCACAATTAAAGGTGCTCTAAACGTGGGCCTAGAAAGAGCTTGGAACTCGTAAAACCCAAATGTTAGGTAAATGTAATTAACAAAAGAAAATCCATTTAATGTTTTATATATTGACCTTAATAAATCCAGAGGCGACTAACCAAAACACTGCTAACGAGCGAATCACTCAAATCTCACCAGAACGCTGATATCGAGTAGAGACAGGCTCTCTGTCAGATGAGGCGAAGCGCGCGCACACATTAGGGGTGTGTAAGCACCCAGCCAGTTAGTGTCCTGGTAGCTAAACAAGCTGCAAAATGTGGACGTTATAAGAGCCAAACCGCAAAATCGCCAGGCAGTTTCCCTAATAGGAGGATGCCGCTACACTATGCTAACCCATTTTATTGACCACCACACTGAAACCCCATCACGCCTTCAGTTTTCTGAGCTTTACTCATCAAAATAAACCGAATTTCCAGTCCGCTTTTGCTGAAGACCGGAGGAGCACTCTACCGTTGTTCCATTCTTGTGGGATTCATCAGTGGTGCACACTCCTATTGAGATTTGACGTGTGAATTCCCGGTTATTGCTTGAAGACTTTACGGTTTGGCCACGAGTGGCTGATCAGCAATGTAACTGATAGCCAGACGGGATATAGTGCACTCATGATGACTTCCAGCAAGGATTAGTCAGTTGTACAGTGCTTCTCCGGTTTTTGGTACAAAATGACTTCACTTTCAGCATTTTATAATCTCCTCATATCATCCCTCAAACAGTTTGGTGAATTCTGTTATACACGCGACACGTACTGGATCAATAGCCCTAGCAAAACTTTTGCGGGGTACAGCCCGAGAGGTTTTTATTCATCAGGTCAGTTAGCATAGATTCTTCAATTAAAAATGTCCGGCGGCGCATTTTTGCTTGTAGTAGAAGTTTTATTCTACCAGGACAGTAGAAGTTAACCGCAGTGACCTCTAACTGAATTTCCGGTGAGAAAATGTGACCGGCTTGAATAGCAAGATGAATTTCTCTTCGATTATTGATTATCTTCGTAGGATACCTCTTGTTACGTCCTTGAAGGTTCTTCACTGACTGGATGGGGACTATCCTGCTCGGTAAAATCATTCTCTACGGGAAACCTGTTGGGTGTTAAGAACATCTCGTGTTAAACCGGAATGAACTACTTGATATAAAGCACCTGGTGGCCTTCGCGGCACTAAATGAAAATTAATTACAACGCAAAATAGCATGATGCACAAGTGCTGTTTCAAGAGGTCGGTTGAAAGGTGGACTTGGCCACTCGGGTTCTGGCCCAAATAATGGTGCTGTTTTCAGATCAACCGCTCCGGTGAAGTCCCAAACGAAAGAATAACCACTTTCTACCAGTCTTTCTGGAGAATATCCACGAATTTTCGGTGTGTAAGTTATGCTACGGATCCCAGTGGGGACAAGCGTTCTGAGAAAAAAACACAATAAGCTTCAGTATATTTGGTTAATTTGGGTATCCAGGACTAGTAGGAATTTCGTGAAGTCGTAGAAAATTGAGTCTACACAAAAAGCAGAAATCCCATTTCAATACAGCATGTGAGTAATCAAAATCTGCTTTGCACCCCACCCCTTCAACAATACTAATAATTTCCTCGGAGCGAGCCAACTCCGATTTCTCAAAAGCCCGGCACTTCGAGCGACAGCCTTAGTACATTTTTAGTACTAGTTCAACATTAATTAATACCATCACTACATCAGGCCTACCGAGAACACTCAATTTTTCCAAAGACAGTGTTCTTGGTAGATGCTACAAATATTATTTTAATTTTATTTTTTTATTATTTTAATTTACGCTTCTATTACTTATTATCTATTTTATTATTTTAATTAGGTAATACTGGTGTAACAGATAAAAAATAGGAACAGCTATTTAACATGTGGTGTGAGGCGTCCATACTGTTATATGGAAACACGGGAGCTTTGATACTGCCAACTGGCCTAAACCTAGGCAGGAATAGTCGAGATGCCGAGGTTGGATTCAGGTCAGTAAGTTCATTCTCATATAGTGGTGGAGCTATGGAAGACATTGTTGAGAGTTTCCACACCCTTGGTTTTATAGAGTTGATCCCTAATAGTCAGTCTAAATTCAGCGTCGTCCGCTACTCTTATTTATTCATTGTGTACAATGGCAACCGTTCACTAACTACAGAGAACAAAAGAGACTTCAGACATAAGCTTTGTATTTTGGTTACTCATTCAATCCCACGACCACTACTTTGCACGAGATGTATCTTGAAACTTAACGACCTGGATATGTTCATCAAACTTAATTCCACAGCGATGACTGAAAAAAGCTTCGAAGGTAATCGTAAAATGTGTGCTGCTTGATAAGAATTCTCAGATACTAGACTAACTGTGCACACGATTCAGCCGCTGGACCGGCTCTAACATATTCTATCTTTATGCATTCGTGTTATTACAGATGGAGAATATCGGGCACAGAATTGTCTCGTCATCCTGTAGGGAAATATAGTCAACGAACAATAAACACAGGCGAACTAGACATTGCCAAAAGCTGTATAGTACATACGAACTCGATAAAATTTCCAGAGGCTTAGTTGGTGGTCTATTTGTTGAGCTTGGTAGTTGGATTGGAATGTGGTAGGTGAACAAATCAACAACGAAGCGGTGCAGTCAAGTTACCTCAACATCGCCGCTTCCAAAGGCGTCCCACAACTTGCATTTTAATGTATTTCTTGTGCGCCAACCTTATGTAGGCTCCCATTTTTCTGGACATTAGTGTGTTACTTTAACCAGGACAGAACGTATCTACAAGGAGAAATCTCGTGTATATTAAAAAAAACCAACTTAATGTGGTTCATTCGAGCAAAACGGCTCGTTGATAGTTCTTTCCCCTTAATCAGACTGTGTTTTTCATAACACTCGGTAAGTCCTGTTGAATTGAAGATTGACTACCACCTTCCGGAGTTGCAGTGTTTTGTTTTCCATCCATTTTACAATGGCTCGATCAAGCTGTCTGTTTTTCAGGTTAAAGTCACTTGAACAGGAAAACGAGCGCCTACAAAACAAGTTAATACAAGCCGACCAAGGTGCTCGACGGTCCGCTCAGCCTACTGGAAAGTCTGGAACGAGAGCTTCTGACAGGTAAGAAATATAGCCACAACCAACAGATCGATAAGTTGCATGACCCCTCAAAACCCACCTGATTAGTCGAAAGAGGGGTCATAGATCTCGACCGGTTAAGGTTCCTAGGAAATGGTTATACCTTCCTTGATCATTGGATACGTTTATCTGCTTTGAAGGTCAAAGATAGAAAACACTATCTGAATATATTGTCTTTATGTTTGACATCACATTATTTATTGTGTAATAAAAGCAGTTTGAGTAGTTTTAGATCTAAAGCTACATTCCTATTTTAAGTACCGGTTGTTCTCGGCCCACTAACAAGCGAATAAAATTATCACACGTGCATAATACACTATTCACAAGGTTGCTGAAAATTCTTCAAGAGCGCACCATAGGTCTACTCTACTTGCGGCTCATCAAGTGGGCGCGGTCTCCGAGTTTCCATTAAACATATGTTTCACTTGAACCCAAATTACACGAAATTAGTGACATACACTCATTTGCAAACAAATTAGGTTTCGCGAAAGACTCAAATGAAGCCCAGCCGAACCTGTCGTTTGTGATGTTTCTAAGCAATTGAATGTGCTGCACCAGGCTACCTCATGTGTCATTTTGTACGATATTCAAGATATCACGATACATGTATAAAAATATCATAAACGGGAGATTTGACTGAGTTGCAGGTGAGTCTCTCGCAAAACCTAATTTGTTTGCAAGTAAGTGTATCTCGCTAATCGTAGGTTCTGTCGCACACATCACTTACAAAATGTGGAATTTTTGGCTGTAAACAGCCGTAGGTGGAGCAACTGCGTCTCCTTGAATCCTATAAATTACGAGGTATCGCAGAGTTACATGGAGTACGCAGGAAATTCGCGGTATGTACTGAGTGTATGTCGCTTTCGGAGGTTGTCTCCCTGACAGACCGAATTAGGTTACCTCAAACACTAACAGCCTAGGTATAATGAAGTCCAAACAGCAGCTTCGGAAACTCGAGGTAGTGAGAACCACTCATGGATATTTCCTTGGCCTCATATGAACATCTGGCGGCAACGAAGAACTGAGGCCGAGTAAATCAAGAGCATCAAGCGTAAAGAGAGAAAAATGAAATGCTCCGGGTCGTAAAACGGCGATGATTTGTCTTTCAAAACCCACAGATATACCATCGACATTTGACTTGCTTCATCCACGATGTTTGTTCCTCATAGGTTGGGCCGCTTCCAGAGAAAACTCCCATTTATTTATCTTCTTTCTCGACTGACCTAACTCCTGAAAACTGTTTCTTCCTCAGCCATCGAGAATTCAATCCATTCCTTTCTGGTTTTGTCGTCGTTTTCCATCTGATTATTGCGCCTGCAGGGAATTGTCTACTTATCCTGCCTACCGTATACCCCTTGTTTCCTTCCTGCACCACCCCAATCTACCTACTTATTTATGTCAGTTTGTTGTCCGGCTTTGGGAGGTCCACGTGTTAGTCACAATCCGATCTTCTCATGAGGGTGCCGGCCACAAGCCAATAAGAGAAACCCATCTGTAGTGGCTTGTACTAAAGCACACTTTACTGAAACATCAGTTTGGTTCTCACCTTATTATTAGTATCGCTATCATTATTACTGTGTTGATTCACATAACCACCGTCTTGGTGTCATAGTTCGGTCTTGTATTTCTTGAGGCTGTTTTTCTGCTAATAATCTTGTCCCACTTGTTTGCAATCTAATCGATGAAAGCCACATTCAAACCCTTCATTTTGTTGATGTCACCCTTGGTCCATCGCAGTCAGTGTCGGCACGCCGTGGTTCGCTAGACTGGGGCACACTGCCACCCCATTGATCGGACCTACTTATTGATTTAGCATGGCCGTACCCTCAGTCCGTCGTGAAAAGCCTTCCGTCATTTTCAGGTATTGACTGTTGCAGACTGTTATGGAAAACAACCTTGTGACCTCCATGGACCACAGATATCCCATCTCCGAAATAGGGATAGTTTCCATTGTATTCTCTTTCATCAATTGATACTGTCTACATGCTACATCTCATCATCTCTCATCCCTAAATCTACCTGGTACATGATTGAAGTGGTCAAATTGCCCAATTAGAACTTTTCGGCTCCTAGTACATGTCGACTATGAGTCACTGATTGATGAAGGATGGCCATGTGGATGAGTCTGTCAGTTGATATTGAGGTTTTATCGAAGCGATTTGTCTATTTACTTTGTGATTCAGCAATTTTCAAAGCAAACAACAGAACATTCAGAATTCTTGGATGAAAACTGTAAAGTTTCGTTAGAATCTTGAGATATTACCAACTATTTCGAGACCTAAGTGCACAGTTTCATCCCCGTTTCATCATCCATAAAAACGACTTGAATTTTGAACTGAGATTTGCAGTCCCAGGTTGCTGTAGTACGAATGAGACTTCACTTCATGGAGGCTTTTTGCTCAAAAATTCGATGAAATTTTGAGAAAAATTCACTTGTGTTATGTCACTTGATGCAAATGACGCAGCTGTTGACATACAGTACAGTTTGGATCATTACTGAGAGATTTTCTCCAAACCTGTTGGTCGCAGATGCTTGAACTAATAAATCCCACTGAATAGACCAGGTCAGGGCTTGCTTTATTTAAGATTCATGTGGCAGAGGTACCATACTCGGTCACTCGAAGCTGTTGTAAATCACACAATGCAATCATCGCCGCCATTTGCGCCAATGATAAATATGAGGTGCTCATACTACTCAAATATATGCAAAGAAACCATAAGCAAAGATCACTAGAACCAGTCTACTATGATTCTCATGCGCGAGTATCTATACTAGTTAAAATAATATGAGATAAACAAGAAAACAAATTCTGTTTTCACCCTATTCTTTTTCGCAAGCTGAGAAGATGCTGAGCTTGATTTCTTGAGCACCAAACTCCTCAACAAACCGTTTTAACGATAGTCTTTGGTTCAAATGGACAGGGAAGCTGGATTCGAACGATCGATGGAATTGGTCACCACAACGTTAGTGAGAACAGGACGTACGAATCCGTGTACTGCGCGAACGGCTCAAGCATGTGGAATCCTTAAGCTTTGAAGTATCCTGGTTATCTGTTCGAAAATTCAAAACTTACCCGTGTTAACTGCACGTACATGCTGACTATAACTAAGAATTGCTTAGCTTGAGACACAGCAATGTTTAACGTTACAACTAACTAAGCAGGTATCAACGGGCGCTTTTGCGCTTATCCACAATATACATTCATTGTAATTAATTTTTAGAAACTACTTCTCACAGCGCAGTTAGGGTGGTGATAATTGCACACTGTCGTGTGCTTCGCAAATTCGCTCACCTCTCAACATTTTCCTAGCATCCTTTATAATGACCTGTTGTATTTACAGCTTGGAAGCATACTCCGGGGAACGCATCTCGGGTAACACGCACGGCAGTCTCAATGGAATAAGCCCCCTAAGTACACACGACCCCATTCAGCGAAGTAGACAGCAATTGGTCGTCATGCGCTTCAATGAGCTCTTCTCCGGAGGCCGGATAGAAGCGATGAACCTACTGCGTAGATACTCCAATGATCACGATATGAATCAAAGCATCGTTTTCAACGCAATCATGGTATGTCAAAGTTTCATCAATCATCCTGATAGACTAAAAGAGAAAAGAGAACCCACGGTCGTGGAATAAGAAACAATGGCACACAACGGGGACACTGAAACATTTACAGCTCATAGAGGAAAAGTACGCCCAAGGGCCTCAGGGTCAGAGTGGATTTAGACAGTTTAAATTTTACTCCGGGATTTGAGGACCGAAAATTACACTAAGCTGGGAAAGAGCACAAACAAGGCGTGTCCTGAAGTTTAGCAGTTCTGAAGAAAAGGAATAGGAAGATAGATTGATCGGGCAGAAGCCGATTAGTATCTGACACAGATGATCAGAAGGGTAACTCTGAAAACGGAGCTGAGAAGACGAGTTATAGGGAGGATTTATCCCAGAAACAAAGACAGAATAAAGTAGAATAGTTTGGGCATCGACAGTTGGGAAGTGCTTGATGGTCAGGATGCATAGCCATGTCATGAGATCAGTTTTCTCCGGGTTAACTTGAGATTCCTACTTGAATATCAATAATAGAAGGGAGAAACGTGCAGTCAGTAGAAGAAACAAATTTCGAAAGCCCGCATCTCAACATATTTGGCATGAGTCATCCGGGGAAGTGTATTGAGGAACGATGAACCTGAAAGCGATGATGCTTGTAGCTACTACGACTGTAGAACTGAGATGGAGTCCACTGTACGATCCCACGTGTGGAGACGAAGGAAGCAAAGGCACGGGTTGATAGACTAGGGTGAATGTAGCTGGTTTAGATAAAAGCAATTAAGAATCTCAGTGAGGTCAGTTTTTAGAACGTTCGTGGATTTTCACAATTCCGAAGGCAGCGAATTACTTGAGCGATTAGGAGGTGAGGGTTTTAATGACTCGCATTGTTCGCAGATTCATGAATTCAACCAGTAACGGGTAAAATGAAATCGTTCACAAACAGAGAGAACCCGGTGGGGAGGCCAAAATACGGAGTCAACTTCAGCTTTGCCGTTGTACGCTCTGGAATCAGCGTCTTCGATTAGAACATGCAATGCACGTACTTGCAGGTTGCATTTTCCGAAATTTCTCCAAGACTTGACCTATAATAATTCTGCCTTGTCAAAAAGCCCAAGGTAGATGACCAGATATCAGGAACGTATATAACAGGTCGTCAGTAGGGGATAACTGAGTTGCCTCGATATCATTGAAAGATCCGAAAATGAGAAATTATCCATAAGTCCTTGAGAGGCTGAATATGAGCCCGATTTACCGGAACCCTAGTCTGCATCTGTCAAAGTCAATACATTGAGAAAGGGGAGGAGTTAGATGCATGTGGGCTCTCTGGAGTTAAGGCGGTGTTGCAGAGAATGGATAAAAGAATACAGATGAGTATGGCGGTGGTTTCCAGATCTTAAGTTTCTGTGAGAAGCGAGAGCTAGCCAGAATGAGTGGCACTGTAACTGAGAAACTCAAGCATGTTGCGGAAAAAGGCTTCAAAAAGCGCGAGGAAAGCATTCTTTTCTCACGTTCATTCTGCCCAGTTGGGGTGGTGAACTCCCACAGACAGACCTTCATACTATCAAGCGTCGGGTTTGAGAAAGCTCTGTATCGTTGAAATGGTTTTACTGAGATTGTTCTAACATTGTATTTCTGGGCTACTCGTATGCTGTCCGTTCTTGACAAATTTTAATGTTTCGTGTGCCACAATCACCAACCCATCGCTACGCACCACTTCGCTCCCCAATAACGCACTGAAGACACTACCTCGATTGGTGATGAAACGTTTGTAATCAGCCCAGTCCAGCTCAGCGAACAAGCCATCGACCACCTACGCTAACTGAGCTAACAACATCTTCCTCTGTAATTGAGTTACTACTTGCACAATAAAGTGGTTGTGCCTTGAGCTTTAAGCGAATCCCTCTTTCACGATACTTTTCTACAGAAGAATGATGTTGATGAACACTTATTGACTTCGCCAAACTCACAAGTATTAGGCGGAGCGAAAATGCTTCTGGGCTCTAAAAAGGGGCATAGGGTGATAACGGAAAACTGAATTTCTGTTTTTACGAGCTAATTCAATAAACTAAATGCTGCATATGAGCAAGGTTACAATGAGAAGAATCAACGATATCTTCAGCAGTGTGAAACAAGACCAGTTGAGAAAATAAAACTCCCTAAGTCGTCTGCGTTCAACGTGTAATAGGAACTTTGTTGAAAGTGCTAACTCTGTTACTCCTCGGCAGTATAAAGCTGGAGGACCTACACTGGTTTACATCAGTCTACGTACAAGACGTGTGGATCAACTCCTGTATTCACCACACATCCTGAAGTATTTAGACGTCGGAACAGTGTTTCCGACCCTAAGTTATAGAGCTTAGCAGTGTCTTTAATCCAGCTGAACGAAAGATCCTGATGCGTAAACTGTCTAGCACGGATATTGAAAGATCCTCTCTGTTCCTCCTGGAAAACTACTCTGCAGAACCAAAACAGTATTTTCAGGCTGATGATAAGTTATCGAAGACTTGTCAGCAAATTGGAACCACCTACAGGGATTGCCTCCTACACAGACTCGTTGAAATGTGAAGAGCAGTGCACTTTGAAAAAATGTGCGGAGGTTATCACCATTGGTAGTGCACTTTCACACTACCAGACACCTGTGCGTTTAAATAAAGACTAAAATCCCATGTGGATGGAACGCGCTACAACCAAACCCATCCAAATGCAACGAGTTTTTGCGGGTAGACACCTTGAGGAGTGATCCACCTAAGAGACCGTCCACAAGGAAACTCCGTCCAGTTTTCTTCGTTACAACATTTTCGGAACCCCCACCGAGGCTTAGTTGTTTGAAAATAGCATATGACTGACACATCTACTTTCTAAGACATAAAAATTGAATTACTGTCGTGTCGCATTTCCCTGAGTGAGGAAGTTTAGAGTTTAGGAGTATACAAAACCATGGTCTGCACATCAGACATTTGCAAAAATGTTCACATAACAAAATAAAATGTGGTAGACTGATTTACACTAGCACATAATAACAGCGTTGGACGGATTCATTCAGCCGCAGGCATTTCCATCGAGCAATTCGGAAGAAACTTCCACGTAACTTGATATTTAACATTGTTTTATCCAGAAAATTTAAATGCTAACCTCATGAATGAATCTCATTGTTCAAAATAAAACATTAGAGAAGCATCCTAATGTTTCGGGAGATTTCCTGAAGGAGATACTGATTTTACTTTGTGCATAATTAGGTACGCAGCAGACGGCGTCGCGTAAAACGCTTGTGCACGAAAGTTGGGCATTTACCATCCAACTAATTACACCTTATGATTGACATATCCAAGTTGGATTGTCACGAGGATCACTTACATTCAACACTTGTCGTCGTCCGTTGACGTGGCAACACTGGTCGTGTTTTCTACTGGTATAAAGGGATGTGATTAGACGCAATCAGGCAGGTTAAAACTTACCGTCTGGAAGAGCTAACCTTCTTTAAGCTTTCCGGTTAATAAGTAGTGCTTTAGAATACATCGCATTTGTCTCGCGAGATCCGTTTTTCGCTGCCATTCATTATGCAATAACCTAAACTGTCACAGATGAACCCTGACGCCAAACTGAAATATTGACGATCGGCATGCGGAAAACCATTGGGGGATTGTACATTGTTCTTTTGGAGTTATGCACACCACGAGAAGGGGCATCAATCTGCAGCCACCTTAGAAGGCATCATTTGTCCTCAAGGTGACACCCATCAATGCATTAACCACAGCATGATGAAAGATAAAAACGGTTAGGCCTTTGTTTCAGTCAAGAGGAAACAATAATGAACAATGAACAACAACGGGTTCTTCTAGTAGTTCAAAAAGTTTTCTAAAGTATACATTGCCGCTGGTTTTCTATAGCGTTGTTTTTTAAGCATATTTCGGTATTACTTTGCTACTTAGATAATGCCGCCGTATCTCTTTACGGACCTCCCATTCTCTTCGAACCAAATAATTTGTTAAAATCCGCTCAGAAGTCGCCCCTTCCCCTACTTTTTATCATTATTTCTCTCTGTTGGTTCTACACTCGAATTGAAGCCTAGAGGTATTTTGTGTTCAAATATAAAACTCTGATAGAATTCTCATTGATCCCATATTGACAGGAGTCTTTTAATGTAGCCAGAGCCCATTTTCGAGCGTATCGAAATAGATTGCGAACAAAAATGGCAACAACTACCAATCCACCTTCCTCGGAAACTTTGGACGAACTGGTGCAGTCTCATATCAATGTGCATGGAAGCTTCGCGGCCAACCTTCCAGCAATGACGCAAGAGGTTTTGTTGGCGATGGAACAACACAGTCCCCGGTTGCAGAGTCCATCAGAGGCACTCGGCTTCGAAATTATCGGTGATTTCATTCATGAAGCCTGTAAACTGGCCTGGGAGTGCTCAGTTCTAGCCCATCCTATCGACGTCTACAGACCGGCCTTCGCAAACGAGGTTATTGACGACTCCAAGTAAGTGTGAACTAGAGAAGCGTCTGTTTATACAGTTTGAAAGCTCTTTTATCAGAGTTGGTTTTTCATGTACAGAAAAAGCTTTAACGGATACACTGTCACAAAAAATTTGGGTATACGATGCGTTTTGCTATTGAGTCTTACGTTCATCCTTACGTATTTCCATCTATTTACTTCATGAACAAGGCTCAGCAGCTCTGAAAATTCTTCCCACATTGCATGCCAGTGCGGTGCGTTTGACGAGGCAATCTACCAGCAATGTTGTGGAATGTAGGTAGCTCGGGTGCGCTGTTTGGTTGTTGGTCTGTTTGCCGAGCTTGGCAGTTGGATTGCAAACGTTTCACCCACTCAACCCTGCACTGACGATGTCACCTCGATTGGTGATGAAACGTTTGCAATCCAACTGCCGAGCTCGGCGAACAGACCAACAACCAAATAGGCAATCTACTCTCCATTTGCCGACTCGGCGAACAGACCAACAACCAAATAGGCAATCTACTCTCGTTTACACGATGGCACCTCCAAATTATGGTCAGATCTCTCATTCAGTTGCGTGTGCGGATCCAACCTGTTAGATATTCTTAAGAGAGTGCACCCCTCTGTAAAAAATTTATGCGAGCAGTCAAATAATCAACCAGAAAACTTTTACCTATCGTGGCTCTGTGCCTGGAATACTGCTGAAGTTTACGTTCCATTATCTCTGTCAGACAGCAAGAGGAACACACCCAACTTCGGTCCACTACAATTGCTTCCGACTGGGTTCACGAATGGTGTTAGTGACCAGTTGCATAACTGTGACTTTCAGCTGGTAATTTAGTCCTACCGGAGTAATCTACTACTTGACACTGGTTAAGGATACCAGTGTATTTATAACAGTCAAGTGGAAGACATTATGATGTGCGAGCAAAGCACAGTAAAATGTTCGAATCTTATCATGATTGGGCGATAGCCAAGTTAAGAGCATTCACAGATGTTTGAAGCCGGGGTTTTCATAGTGGTAAGTTGCAATATTGTTCACTCGGTCACTCAAAATGATGCAGGTTTGAATGCTCATAATGTTGTCTTTGGCCGCCACTTTGTTCGATGAACTGGGTAGTTTGGTTGCAAACGTTTCATCACCCCTTGATGTAACCAAACTGAGCAAACAGATCAACTTCCATAATTACCAACTGAGCCACAACTATTCACCCTAATTTCAATGTTGTTCTTACCAGCTGTATGTCCTCCATTTAACTCACACTGGCCCAGCATTCCATCAAACCATCCAAGTGCATCGTAACAGTAGAGACATTAACTTCCAAAAGCAGAAATCTGTTGTGAGTAACAACCGATCCACCCAAGTATTTGAAACGTTTGGAGCTATCTTGGGCCCGATTGCCAGGTATATACTTCTGAATCATTTCGTCCGGGTCGGAACCTATCAACAGTAGTATGGCTTACACAGGGTTAGTTCGTTTTCCTGAAAACATCAAAACCGAGAGGTTTAACTGGGTTCCAGGCGAGTCTCAAGCACAAACGAATTTGTTTGCAACTAAGTGTATTTCACTGGTTTGTTTTCCGTTTAGTGCTCTGTAGAACGAGTATCGGGCCCACAAGTTGATTCATCTTAAGGAGGCCAAAGTGAAACAGTGTAACTCAGCTCACTATTTTAGCAGTATTACGAGTATGTGAAATCGGTCTACTGATCGGTCTAATGATCGGTCTAATAATCCCCAATAGTTTGCTTGCTCTTGATAAACAAATATTTAGGGTTGCTATGGTATGGTCTGTAGCATATGTTGTTGAGTTGTCCTATCAGGTCACCATGGTCACGGAAGCTGACAAATGCTGGTGTTCTGGTCTGGTCCGGAAAAGCGGGTTCCATTCGGACACAATGTGCGACGCATAGGAGTAATTGGTGCATTTGCTGTTCCCAGAAACACCCTTGGTTTTTTATTTACAAAAGGTTATTTGGCAACCGTACTCACCGGGCAGTAGCATCAACTACTTTACGCCTGCGTGATTTCGCAAGGAGACATGGTGCTTCGCCATCATCATCAACATTATCAAAAATGATACCTAATTTGCGAATCCCGGTCACTCAAATGTCATATGACTATGGGGGAATAATACTCCATTAAATCGTGAAATTAAACAGAAACTTTATGGCTCATACAAATCAGAATAGCTCCCATCAGATGGTAAAAAGGACTCTCCACGACGATAATTTTCTGTTGATCTTCTCATTGAATTGATTTTACACCATCCTACGTCATCCACGATCATTCTTTAAAGCGACGAATATGCAGTAAGTATTGGTTCTCAACTGTTATACGACCAGGAGGAGAAAATGCCCTTCCGAAAGGACTGAAGTACTGGAAGTCGGATTCTTAGTGGAAGGAATCTTGCTGTCAGCTTAAGCAACCAAATCTTGGTGTCTGGACGTTGGAACAGCAGTAAACTAAACGCATCTGAGAACCATATCAGCGTAAAACGCCGTTAGCGGGATTTTTTAAACGTAGGTTGCGAAATTTACCCAATATCGCAGCAAGCAGTGATGAGAGAACTTTAGTTAGGCAGTTTGGCTAGAAAGTGACATTGTAAATGGCATTGAGATAGTTCAAGTGCCGGCCCCGTAAGGCTTTCAACTAGGTACAGGAATAACGTGGATCCCATCAAGGGAAGGGCGAAACTCTCGCGGCATCCCATGAGTGGGTATTCATGTGTATCGTGTGTCCGTTACCACTAAAGTCGTCCATGGAGGTGCCTTAGCAACAGCGTAGATTCCAGGGCAGTTCGGGTCCTACACAAATGTTCTGACTTACAAGACTGTTAGCGTCAATATTCATCAAATTTTTGACATGCACATCCAATGTGCTCTCAGTATACTGTAACCCGTCGTGCAGTTGTGAGTTAATTGTCCATTGCTTACCTTCCACTTGTTTCAGATACCGCCGTAGCCACGATTCTTCGTATTCTGCCGTCCTCGTTCATCATCATATCTGGCCTTGCCTTGTCCAGGATGGTAGTGTTATTGCCAAAGGCGAGGTCTGTACAAGGCGTGGTAGGCCTTCGTACAGTACGAGACATGTGGTAAGTGCGAATAAGCTTAGGAAAGACAATCAAAAATACCTTCATCATTCTCACCTAGGAAGAAAGCTTGCCTACTTGGTTGCTTTTTACTGTTGTTTAGCCGGAAAATCTTAGAAACTATCCCCAGATAAACAAAAACGGCATCCTGTAGCCCGTATTAAATGAGCAAACCAATCCGTCAGTCAACAGCCAGTTAGCTGACGCGCTTAGTGGCTTATTAATGACTGTTCTTTGAGAAGATCAATTATCATTTGGGATGAAAGAGAAGGTTATTCGTGAGTACTCCTAACGTCCCGGAGAGGTGTTACTTTTAAAAATTCTGAATATGGACCAAACAAATAGCGCAAAAGAAAAGAGCCATTGGGGGTACTCAGTTTTGCAGCTTCTTGCTTGTCAGAGTAATTTTCCTATATCTATCTGAAACTGGGGCACTTTCGGGGACCTCGTTAACTTCGGACGTGATGGTCATGTAAGTGGGGGACGAATAGCATTGGCAGAAATGGGCTGCTGATCAGGGAAGTGATGCGTCAGTATGGGACTCACTTGCACATATACCAACTGGATATCATCCACTACGCTACCAAGTATTCTTGGGAATTGTGGGACCTGTGATCACATAACTTCCGTCTGGAATATCCGTTCTCGTTCTGACGCAATTATTGTGGTCGGCAAGTACATAAAGCACCTTCTGCATCACGACGCTGGAATCAGTTGTTCCATATGTAGACGGTAGCAAATTTGATCCAAGACTGATCCCCATACATCTACCTGACGAGCTCCAACTAGTCTCATTATGACGAAGTTTTCCGGGAAGCAGACATGTGTTTTAAAAATAAGGCATTAACTTCAACTTTGGTGAATCCGTACGGAGGAACTTATATTGTAGTAACGAGGATCTGCCTTTGTCTTAGATGGTATTTGGCGTTAGTTTGTTATGACCCTATATAAAGCAATGGGTTACAGTTATAAGCAATTCCTGAGCCGGAAACAGAAGTGCCAGTTAATTAGGTTTTCGCATTCTCAGCACGATGTTCCCTGCGAAAACCAACAAGTTTTCTTAAGTGAATTCAGACTCACTGATCAACCTGTTCACTACTGTGCATGTTTAGGTTGCTACCCGTTGACAGTTGACAGATGGATCTGAGTTCTTTTGCCAGGTAAATTTATAAAAGGTGTACGTAGTTTTTACCCATCTAAATCTCTTCCGGAGCATTCTGTTGTATTTTACATTTACTTCGTAATTATGTGGCAGGACTGAAGGGGCTCCTCTAGTGGTCGCCCAACAATCGCCTCTTTTATACTGATTCAGACATCTGGGTTTACTGTAAAACTACCTAATGAGATGTTTCCCAGCATGTGTTCTCACCTACCTGGAACACCTGGTCAACCCGTAGACTCAAATTTGTTTCCAGATGGATGCAATTACTGAGTATTCTCGGATGTAATCTATTACACATGGAGAGCATAGCAGCGTAAACTCCAGCGATGCCGGTCTATTGTAACATAAGGGTTATTTTCTCATGAAGGCAAGTTGTAATTTCGCCATTGCAAAATGTCGGTAATGTTGAGGGGAGCACTGAAAAGCCTTGTACCGTTGGAGCTATAGTACTGCGCTTCCTTGGGAAAACACTGGTGGTGGGAGTGTGATCAACAATATCCACGCCACATACGTAGTGGGGAAGTGTTCGTGCCCTGATGCCCTCAATGATCCGAATGAGAACGACACAGTTTTCCGTTTAGTCTGATGTAAATGCACTACATGTTCAATAAACCTCTAAATCCATTAATTCTATATACTGGTATCGCGCGGTGAAGCGCTTCACTGGTAACCAGCCCTCATAGTTCACATAAGTGTTACTTTTTCAGTACAACGTAAATTCGAACCATTAAACACAGAAACCTGTCCAAAAAATAGTACTCACTACTAGGGATCAAAAGATATTGCGCACTCTTTTGCCGATGCTTCTTACTCCTGGGTTGTATTCCCTTCAATTGACATTTTAGGGGGACGGTTCACTTAACGGTGATCTGTGCTTATGCAATGTATAATTATCGCCCACATCCGGATAAATATTCTACTGATGTAGTTGATCGATTAACAGGTGCTTTGTTGCTATAAAAGAAGTATCATAACTGTCAGTGGTACAGTGCATTTCTGTTATGATCACTTCCCTCGGGAGACTAAATTGGTCATTTATAGAACCTAATATAATCTCTTCTTTGATCATTGGATGGTTTGTTTCTCCTGAAATGGGAAAAAGCCCCTCTAAAATCGTACCACTGAGGACTCTCATCCCGGAAGTTTTTCTCATACATGAGTATTGTACAAGCAAAGAGTAGCTATACTCAGGATCCTACACAAATATTTTGCCTTCTTGTTTTAGTCACCGGATGCAATTAAAAGGTCCACCAGTATGAGGCCCCATTGCAATACACGTTCCTCTTCCCCCCGGCAAAATTCCGCTTCACAAAGTGAGTTTTTCAACAGGAATCCATGACACTGTTTCTATGATTTGAGGAGGTCAACATCAGGGAAAAGCTGTGTTGAGAGATCCTTGCTTCTATTCTAAGCTTGGAACGTGACGTTAGCCCGTGCGGTACACTGTTTCACAGGTCCTGACAGGTGTATCAACTGCTACCAGAGATGAGATATAAGTAATTTCTGGTATCCGTGAATTCAATAAGCGCCTAAAACAACGATGGAAGCAAATCCAACGAACGCATAGCCGGGTTTGTTGATGTTTTAGCATTGCATCCACGCCTTCGGTTAGTGAACGTTTACCAAACATGTTCAATTTTGGAATAGTCCGGTCAAAAATACTAGATGAGCTTGCAGGAAAACAGTGGACCACGCCTACCCATTGTTATCAACCAAGTTGTCTGGTGGTAACATCGCGTTTACTGTTGGAAATAAAACGCGAACGCATTCCATGCGCGGCTCTACAATATCAATTTCTAGAACAATAACATCAGCACCAGGTATCAGAGAAGTGTACACACAAAATTGTATACCGAGTTCCCAGTGCTGTTTCTTAGTTCGGGTGTCAGTAATAGCTGAAGCGCTAGCAACATAAGTAATCTCTCTCTCCAGTCCTTTGGGGGCTTGTAAACAACTATTAAAAACCAAAGAAGAAAAGCTACAATAAGCTGCTGCTGAGCTCCTATTAAGATTTACGATCATCACAGTACCAATATGATCAACCCTATGGACCGAGTGCCAATCACCATGACATGTCAGAGGAATCCTCAGCTAATTGTGACATCTGCCTCCCACACCGCTGTGGAAGCGGGTGCGATCTCGAATGTCCGTTTTACCTGGACTTATTTGCGCAAAACATTGGTGTAATTAATTCAATGCAGGTAGTTTGTTCGATGGAAGTACGATGGTCATACTTAGGACAATGGGCAAAACCCCATAGGGACCACTGTCTAACAAGTGAAGAGAACGCGTTTCGGATTGGTATGATATGGAGACGAAAACCCGGTGTTCACCGTGCGAATACCCTATAGAAATGACACATCAGATGCCATTCGAAAGATACTCCGGGATTGTAACATTGAAGTATTCTGCCGAATTGATGGCAACCTACTACAACGCATCGTGAGGACCAGGGACCCCATCGAACCGAAACACTGCACCAATTGCGTTTTCCAAATTCCCTATGCAGAGTATCCAGCCAAATACATTGGCACACGGATGAATCCGTGCGCGAATTAAGGTGCACAAACGGCACGCGTGTTTTTATCCACGAAATCCAAACCAGTCCAAAAACCTGAACGTAATTCAGCACTCCGCGCACTTGAGTCAAGCCGTCAAATCAACTTTGATGATGCACGGAACAGGTGTGCGCTTAGACACTAGAGTTTAACACAACTGAACTACATCAGCCATGGTAATGGCGCCAGCACCCTGTCTATCTGATTTGGACTTATTGCACACTTTAGCAGGCTGTTTCATTTGGAACTGAAGAAGTGAAATCCTTTATCACCAGGGTCACATTTACATTGGTAGGAAGGATGACACCTTAAATAGCGGGTTCAGTTCTGCTAGTAATAATAATAATAATAAAATCGACGCTCGGAAATGAATTTCAGAGCCACAAAGTACCTGCGCTCCGAATCTAGGTCCTTCATTTGCGATAAGGAATAGGAGGTGGGTAGAACGATACTAGTTCGTCTGTTACTGCTGTCTTATGCTTTTCAGCTCATTACAGTGAACAGTTTACCCAACGATACCAATAAGATCTGAATGTGTATTTTTTATGGGCAGCTGAAGAAGAGTCAGTAAGTTAATCAGCATAGATCACAGTAAGTACTTTGTTGTGTGTCCTTTCCTCTGAAGACGAAGACTGGTTCATTTATGCAGCCTGTTACATCGCTCATCTCCATCCCTCCTCGCGCCCACTTTCTGATTCAAACTATGTTTCTCTGATGGATATATCAAAATTACTTTGATTGCTGATGTCACATGGTTGTACCCATTGGGGAACGACTTTGATCACTTTTTCTCTTCAGTCGTCCTCATCTAGGTCAGAACTACAAGTAGTTTTCTTCTAATACCGAATTTACCGCACCCCTCCTGCAGTTGCATCCTGCATCCAGTTCTGAAATAGTCGCGTACAGTCAAAATTTTCCCTCATCGTGGAGTCTTCCTTGATCACACAAGTAACAAGTGAAGCTTCGTTAACGTCTGCAACCGTAACTGGTACCAAAGTCATATACTTCAGGAGAAAATAAATTCCATCATCAGATGGCGTCACACTGATTCGTACTAAAATTAGATTTGCACAAGTAAATGAAGTTATCAAGCTAGTTTGTTAAAACTATCGCAGGGGATACCATGTTCTCATTTAGGATGCGGTCTAAAACCGAACTAGAGTCAAGCAAACGTCGCGAAATTTTATCCTCTATCTTTATATGGTTATACGGAAGCACTGCTACTATCCTGAATAAACCTCAAATGGTGCGGTATCACATGAGCTCTTCTTCAAGCCATTGACGGACTTTTCCGCTAG